ATACGACGACGGTTTACTTCTTGTATCCTGTTAGGTTGCCCAAACTCATCTATAGAACTTGTTTTGTCGTCTAACTTTGTCATAACAACTTATTATAATGTCATTAGTGATGACCCGTCCCATATAATAGAAAAGTAGATTTATGAGCTCTTTATAACTTCAAAGTTGTGAGCTACCAATAATTTTATCATGGTTTTAAGTTGATTTAGAGTTTACTGAGCCAGTCTGCTTCTTTGAGCTTAGGGTGTTACACCATTATATCAAGACACGTTGTATAAACTTCAAATCTCATCAATGACTCGATTAATGTCTGATCTAGTCGATGGTTTGGTCAAAACAATCTAAAAAGAACCCCGTCTGAGTCCTAGTGAAAGCAGTCAAAAATAAGTCCAGACCAGACCATGACCAGTCCTTATCATGTCATGGTCTGGTCCGGGACTAAAAAATTTAGTCTTTTGCGTCTACACTAAATCTTATCAGGAACAAACTAAAGCAAAGAGATTATGAAATTGACATAAAACCCTATTTTTACACATATGAGGCTATAAGCAGTGCCATTCAGACATCTAATCACAACATTTTACTTACATATTACCTATATATACATATGATAGATACGCTTTATACGCGACAAGGCAGACGGTAAAATACAGAAGTTCATTATCAATATCATACGTGATCAGTAATATAAAAAAACTATAATACCAGTTATGATTAATAATATAAAAAAAAGACCTTAAAGATGGTATTATAATTTGTGAGGAAGAATGGATGAATAAACCCCACTAACTCGTTTATTAAAAAAGATCCACTAACCCACATCCTAAAATTACATGGTGTCTTTTGTGTTTGTCTCTAAATGATAGGATATATTTATAGTTTGGCGGTGTTTGAGATTGATTATTTGAAATAATTTATGTTTTTCTATAAAAGTTTGTATCAATTTATTATAAGTTAAAATGATTTAGCTTCTTTAAAAACTCCTTATTATCGGTTTGACACCGGTATAAGCTGTTTATCCAAACATTCAAAAGTTTTATTACCGATGTCACATCGAAATAAGTCAATAAATTGTTTTTATAAGCAATTTCAAACACCCTTTAAATAGATAACCAATATTGTTAAATGACATTTATACTCTTTTAATTAATTTTGCATTATTTTATTTAAGGTATTAATTTAATGAGATGGTTGACTTATAATCCTTCCCGCATGATTTCTCTCTCTATACACACATTATATAATTATATATATAAGGGAGCGATCAAATGCAAACCACTCAATTTGTACAAACCGTGCAAACCGCATTCAACCAATCATAATTTTTCATTTTGTTCATTTTTTTGTAATTATGAGAAGTTGACTAATCATTTTTATTGTGGAGGGTGTTAATCATAGATATTATCATCTTCATTATTTTAATTTTAGAGAAATACATGAAACAGTTTCATTAATGTTAGAGAAATACATGAAACAGTTTCATTAATGTTAGAGAAATACAT